CATAGTTGACAATAATCAGCTGCACCAGAACTACCTTTGAGGATGGCACCTTATAAATCATATCACACACGAACCATGGACATCACATGGACAGCTAACTCCATGTGAAGCCCAGAAGCTCCCCCACCAATGGTGGTGACAAGAGACTATAACACTCCTTCCTATAATGGGGTCACCTTTCCCCTCCCAGAGTTGAACACCCCCCCCATATGACCCCACCCCAAGCACCTCACCTTCTTGTTGATCTCAGTGCGGTGATGGTAGCCTTTCTGCCCAGCCCTGGCCACAGAGAAGGCCACCCGGGCAGGATGCCACGCCCCGATACAGGCAACCTTCCGCAGCCCTCTGTGGGTCTTGCGCGGCAGCTTCTTGGTGTGCCAGCGGCTGGTGACCCCTGGAATGGACACATGCTGTTACTGGGGAGTCCGGCACTCATGACATTGGCCCTTTTCTCCTGGAAGGCCCACCTGAGCTCACTGGTTTGTTAACACCCAATGACAGTGCATTTCAAGGACAGAGGTGGGTTTAACCTGCATGCTACCCTCTAATGGCCATATCAGCCCAAGTCGAATGCTTGTCTAAATGTGAACCTAGAGTTCAGGCCTTGGAGACCTCAGTGAGAGGTCATGCCCCCCCGTCCGCGACCGCAGGGCTGTTCTCAGAAGGAAGGCAGCAAGGAATGTTTCCGCAGCGTGACTCGGGCGCTGTGCCCAGCGCTCATTCCAGAGCCTCATCACAGAACAGCAGGTTGGAGACCCCTCTCCTGAGTCTAAGGCAGCAATCCCGGCCACTGCAAAGCTCACCTTTGTAGCCTTTGCCCTTGGTCACTCCAATGACATCAATCATCTCGTCCTGTCCAAACACCTGGTTCACAGGGACCTGTTGCTCTAGCCTCTCCCGGGCCCAGTCCAGTTTCTCGGCCACCGTGCCTCCATTCACCTGGATCTCCATGAGGTGGGCCTTCTTCTGGCGCAGAGGAAGCAGGCGCATCTAGAAGGGAATGGATGCAGCTCAGCTCCCTGCGCTTCAAGCTCTTCCCCAGCAGAGGAGGAACGTGGTGTCGTGACTCCCCACTGGGCACAATTCCCCTTTCAATTCTGATGAGCCAACCCTTGACACAGGGCCCACACCAAGATAGGTCACTTAACCAGATCCCGGCACCAACAAGCCGAACGTGCCGACCACTGACTGTCCTTTGGCCAGTGCCTTTGGGGTACTGCCCTAGTTTGCCTGCCCACCTACCTTGCTCTATTACTCCAACAATTCACCTGTACCTTGGAGAGCAGGATGGCACGGCAGCCACCGTACAAACTGCAAGCATTAGAAAAGGAAACAAATGCAGGCCTAAAGCTTGTAGCTACCCCTACAGAACTTCCGTGGACTGCTGTCGATCTGCGCTCATGTGGTCCCTAACTCAGCACTCGGGAGGGAATAGGGCACACACCCAGGGAGTGGCCCAGAGCACAAGGAGGCACTCCCCTGTCCAAGCCAGGCAAGGGCTCCTTCTGCCAGGTTTGAGATGCCAACAGGCATTATTCCACCACTGACTGTTCACTACTTTCAGTCAGGCACTTGACAATGTTAGTCATGAGTCACCAATTCCTTCAACCAGCTTTCATTGAAACGGGTGTCGTTTCCCTAATAACCAAAAGGGACACAGTGCCCTCTGCTGACAAGTGAAAGACCAACCTACAAGCGGAGGCACTGGGGGTCTTACTCAGGCCGCTGTCCAATGGGCAGGCCGGGCCCAGGAACCCAGGCTTCACGGGCAGGGCAGTGCCTGGCCTGTTGCTGTGTTAACTTCAAACAACCCCCAGGCTGCTCTCTGGCCTATCTCCTACACCAGAAAAGAAGTTTTGAGGAACCTGAACCAGCCTAACCACCCCGTAAGTCCCCAAGACTTGGCACAAAATCACTCTGAGGATGGACCAAGGTAACTGAATCTCCCAAACAAGCAGCATCTGATATTCAAAGCCCCACATGATCATCAGCCACCTCCAGGCTGGAAGCGGCAGGCACAGCTGCCTCGTGGGCACACTGGCAAGTGCTCACCTGGGTGTGGGCGATGACACGGATGACCTGGCAGTACTTCTTCATGCTGCTGAAGTCCTTCTCCAGCTGCTTCTTGCCATCGTCATCCTGCCACTTCTTGCAGTATTTGGTGAAGGCCTTCTTCTTAGACTTATGCCTTCAGGAGCAGAGCAGAGTTGGGGAGGGGGGCCGGGTGCAGGCCTTCATCACCCCTCCGAGGGGTGAGAGGAAGGCACACGGGCACCACGTGGGGATGGGGCTCATTGCCGGCTTCTAAGGAGCCTTTTCCACCGGCAAGCGGAGCCTGGATGGAGCTCATCGGGCAAAGCCGAGCGGAGCTGAGCAGAGGTCCACAAGATTAATGTAAGTCACAAACACCCAAGCACACACTCATTCTTGCTCCGGTCTAGCCATTACCCAGACCACACACCCAGGCAGGGCTGCTACCTCTTGGTTTCTCTCGGGACTCTCAATACTTCCCAGAAACCAAGAAAATACTAAAACCTGAGTCCTCAGCCAACACCCACTAAGCTGCTCCCAGCTCAGGAAACCACCAACTGCTTAAGGGCCGTCTCCAGGAATTGTTCTGTTCTGGAGGCAACTAACCCTAACACCAGAGCAGCCCTCCCATTTCGGCTGAGAAGCCCTGCACAGGTGCTCCTCCCCACCCTAAGCTAGGGTGTCCCCTCCCTTACCAGTTCTTATAAAAGCGCCTTTTGCACTCATCACTGATATGCTCAGCAAAGATGGTTTTGAAGGTCCGGAGGCCCCGGGGGGTTTCCACGTAGCCCACAATGCCCACCACCACCATGGGCGGTGTCTCCACAATGGTCACAGCCTCCACAACTTCCTTCTTGTTCACCTCTGCAGAGAAAGCAGATCGTCAGACTTAAATGGTCTAACTAGAACCCTCAGCAAGGGGTAGTGTTTTATAGAAACTGTTAAGTGCTCTCTAGGCTGGGAGGGCAACTTGCTTAAGGCAGCACAGGCTACAGAAGCAGGGCCCATGTCAGCATACACTGACAACTCTTAACAAAAAATATAGGACCTGCCCAGCCAGTGTGCTCCGTGGTTGAGCATTAACCTATGAAGCAGATTCCCCATCAAGGCACACGCCCCAGTGGCAGCTCCATCCCCAGTAGGGGGCGTGCAGGAGGCAGCATTGATGTTTGTATCTCTCCTTTTCCCTTCCTCTTTGGAACCAAATATATGTATTTATGACCCTAATAAAGCAAATTAACAGCCTGGTTTCCGTTCTTTTCTATCAGAAATCTCTATAGACGGACACATTTCTTATTACCTGGATAACACAAGCATTCTAAGTATAATGGGATGTCAAACTATCCCTACGGTCAGGTAGACATTAGCTACCATGGTAGGGTAATCAGGGCAGTGTCCCACTTGGCAACTTTTCCACTTTGAAACTCACAACCCAAGGCCATGGGTCGTCTTCAAGCCTTTTAGGGCAGCATACTTCTCCATGCTGTGGCTCTTGACAAATTTACCCACATAGTGCTCCCTGATGTCAATCTATCCCTCCTCCCACAAATGGCAGTGCCAGCCATCTACAGCCTGGGAATGTTAACAGTCCTAAAATATACTAAGAACATCATTTGAGACGTTCTGTTGATTTCTTAAGTCTGCCCTTACAGCTTGGCCCCACCCAGTCCAGTCCCCACCCTCAATTCCTAACCCCCCCCACCAGCTTGGAGGACGACACAGTATGTACGTACTGGATCCTGGCCTGTCGACCTCCCGCACGATGTGGGTCATGCCAGCCTTGTAGCCCAGGAATGCTGTGAGGTGGACAGGCTTGGAGGAGTCATCCTTGGGGAAGCTCTTCACCTTCCCGCGGTGCCGGCTGCTGCGCTTCCGAGGCAAGAAGCCCAGGGACCCGTGCCTGGGCGCGGAGAACTTCCGGTGAGACTGGAAGAAAGTGGCCAACATCAGTGCTTGAGCTTGGAACTCACTTCCGGATCCCCAGCTGACCAGATGGTCCTATGAGGAGTCTCAGCAAAGCTGAATCCAAAACAGACCCAGCTAAACTGGGTTTGCTTTTTGTAGGGTCACACATCCGGCTGTATTCATCTCAAATGCTCACTCTACAATTTAGCAAAATGAACTAACCCCTTTTCCCTGTCAGACAAAAGCGCGCCTGACTTTAAATCAGATTAACAGGTGACCTTATGGTCATAAAGACCCTGAGCACCGAGAGACTTCTGGGACACGTGGGCGGGGAGCAGGTAATGGTACTGGAGGCTCCTCTGCCCGCGAGGACACCTAGGCCACTAGAACGCACAGCCAAATCAGAACGTGACAATCAGCACAGAGTCTCTGTCCGCCCGTCAACAAGTTCATCATCTGTGGTTTCTGGGAGCTCTAGCGGCCTACGTTGTCCCCCCAAGCGTCCCAGAAGTTTCAGGAAGAGGACTCAACACCCTCCACGTCTCCCCGCCTGCCTCCTGCTGATTCCTAAGCCTCCCAACCGGCAAGAGTTACCCTGCCTGGGCCCCCACGTCTAGGTCCTCCTGGCTGAAGTGCTCGCGGGCTCCAACCTCGATTAGCACTGAACTGCTAAGGCCGAGGCCCAGAAATAACCCATGGCTTGAAAGCGGTCGGCCCCGGGCACCCTAGCCCAGCTCCCGCCGCAAGGCCTTCTCGCCAGCCGAGCGGTAGGCCCAAAGCCAACCACAGGCCTCGGTGTTTCCCGAAAATAGGCCTGACTGCGGACCCCGCCGAGCTTCCCGTGCTCCCAGAGCAGGTCCTCGGCGCTCGGACAGCCGAGATGGCGCCGATGCGCCGCGGACTCAGCCATGCCGCCATTGCCGAGGAGGGAGGCGCCAAGAGAGTACATACCATCCTGCCGCCAACGCCGCCGGTAGAGGTCGGGCGGCGCTCGGCGTGCGATATATAAAGCCCCGCCTGGCTCCGCCTCTTCCGGCGTACTAGCGCGCACCCGCGGCGGACGTCGGGTCAGGGGGCAAGTACCGATGGCCCTTTCCACGCATGCGCGTCCTCGCCAAGCGTTTGTTCCCAGCGAGACGTGAGTTTCAGGAGCTGGCGTTGGAACCGCTACGGCGAGCGGCTGGGTTCAAACTTAGTGAAACGCCGCGGAAATGTGGCGAGGGGCCTCGCTCCCATAAACCTACCGCTGCAGCGATGGGCGGCAGCCAGATCTGAACACACCGTTCCGCGGAAGGAAGGTAGCTGGCTGCGTCGCTTCTTTGCACATTGAATGCAGTCACCTCTGGAATTGAATAACTCAGCTGTGGGCTCCTGCCCAAAACCGTGTCACACATGGGACCCATTCCCGTCCCACGCAGTAGATCGGGTTTGTTGCCATTTTGCAGGCACACAGGTGGAAAGCGTTGCCCGGCTCTAAGTCGGAGAGAAAAGATTGCGCCCCTGGTTTTCTGGCTTCCAGCCGAGAGCCGCTTCCACCACACCAACTTGCCTTTAATATGTCCCGACTTGGGCCATAGTCGGATTGGCTCAGTGGAGAGAGCATCGGCCTGCGGACTGAAGGGACCCCGGTTCGATTCCAGTCGAGGGCACCGGCCCGGGTTGGGGGCTCGATCCCCAGAAGGGGGCGACCTCCCAGAAGAAGCTGGGGCTGTGAGGGAAGCCCGGGTCTGGCCCGGCCTCGATGGGTCTCTCTCTCACATCAATGTTTCTTCCCTCTGTCTCTCTCCCTAAAAATTAATGAAAAAAACATTTTCATTTAATGCTGACACCACCCCTGAGAGGCAGCCCTGAGAGGTCCTCAGTCCCTTATTTTGAAAATCTTTGCTGCAGATGTATTTCCAAATCCAGTCCCTATCATGTTTTAGATAATATGCAACATGGTGCGCATGCTGTATATTATGTAATCCTCCCAAAACTCTTTGATGAAACACATGAATTCTGTAAAGATACATGAATAGTCACATGAAGTGGGATAAATATAAATAGCCTCCTACCAACCCGTTCAAGGCTGACTCAGCTACCTAAAAAATTCAGGTCAATTTGGTTTTTGTCACCAAATGACTTAGGAAGTTTTTTGATTTCAGAATTGTGGAAAGGGGATTATGACCCATATTGTCCCCTCTTACCAAGAAAACTAGGTGGCCCTAGCCGGTTTGGCTCAGTGGATAGCGCATCAGCCTGTGGACTGAAGGGTCCCAGTTTCTGGACAAGGGCACATGCCCGGGTTGGGAACTTGATCCCCAGAAGGGGCGTGCAGGAGGCAGCCAGTCAATGATTCTCTCTCATCATTGATGTTTCCATCTCTCTCCCTTTCCCTTCCTCTCTGAAATCAATAAGAAAAATATATATATTTTAAAAGACTTTTAAAAATAGAAAGAAAACTAGGTTTCAGGCCAAGGGGAAATAATTTGGTAAAAACCACACAATTCATGAAGGACAGAGCTCAAGTCTGACTGACTCTAGATTGAGTTTTTCACGCCATTAGACTCGGGGTTCGGTAGCTCCCTCACTGGAAAAGGAGCTCTGGGTCCTGAGTCCCTCATTCACTCAACAAGACATTCTCACTGAGCCTGCTCTGTGCCAGGTACCGCACCAGGCTGTGGGAATGAGATGGCCACCATCACAGACCAAATAAGACTAGTATTTAAAATTGTGATGAAGGTTAAAAAAGATTGAACACCCCGGCCAATGTGGCTCAGTGGTTGAGTGTCATCTTGTGAACCAGAAGGTCACACTTGGATTCCCCATCTGGGCACATGTCTGGGTTGTGGGCTCAATCCCCGGTAGGGGGTGTGCAGGAGGCAGTCAATCAATGATTCTCATCATTGATGTTTCTATCTCTCTCTCCCTCTCCCTTCATCTCTGAAATTAATAAAAATATATTATTTTAAAAAAATATTTAACAAACAATGTCACTGAAGGTCCTGGGCAAACCATCCCCAAAAGGAATTCCCCTCTGCAGTCAAGAGAAAGGACAGCATAACAGACCTGCACTGTCGTGCCCGTTGTACATAGAGCTCATGGGATGTTGCCTTGCATCTCCGTTTCCCCATCTGTCAATCAAGGGATTTATTCATTCATTTAACACATGTGTCCTGAGCCTGCTCTGCCTAAGAATGGCTCTAAGGAGACAACTGGACTGGGAGAAGCCAGCCAGGAGGTGGGGATAGGTAGAGGGCTTTCACGGTGGGTGACCTGGAAAGGGGCACTGAGGTGGGCATAACGGAGCAGAAGCAGGAGCTACTTAGAATGGACGGGATCTGGAGATGGCTCCTATGAGTCGCTGGGGCTAGGGGTGGGGAGAGGAGGCAGGAAGGGCCCAAGTCAGGATATCCATTTTGGAATATTAGATAGTGTTATTTTTAGAAGGGAGAGATAAGTTTATGTATGTGGGTTTGGAATCACTTGTGGGGTTAACTGTATCCTTTCTCCTTCCAAGAACAGGTCTAAGGCTACAAGAAAAAAGTAAGGAAGTGATGAAGGGAAGTAAGACGGGATCTCACCCAAACACACACTGTAGAATTCTGTTTACGCCAGAGGAGCCCTCCTATTCGGTTCTGAGCGTCTGTGAGGCCAAAGATAAACGATGACTCCGAGAGTAACATGGCTTACGATACCCACATGATGAAAAGGAGCCATTGCCTTGTGAGGATGCAGCAGCCTGCAGGCTAGGAGGCAGGTCCTCGCCAGAACCTGGGCATGCTGGTACCTGGTGTGAAACTTCCTGGCCGCCAAAACTGTGAGAAATAAATGTCTTGTTGTTTAAGCCACATCCCCCCGCCCCCGCACCTCCAAAAACAAACCAACCAGTGGCCAGAGTGCACTGTGCCTGAAATAAAACTTGAAACAAACTTCTCTGGGGAGAAGGTTCCCCTAAAGGGGCCAGAGTGGGACGCCACTGCTGACGCCCTGAACACCATCCCACAGTGAACACACAACGGCTGGTCACGCTCAGCGGGGACCAGTGAACGCACGGCAGGATGCAATCTGTGGGAGCTGTTTACAAGGGGCCAAAACGAGCAGGTTGGGTTACCCGATCCTGGACTGCTGGTGTTTAATCCAAAGATAAAATCCAGAGTCTGGGAAGAAATGGACTGGTTTTCTTTACAAATGGTCCTCCATTGCCCTAGCCAGTCTGGCTCAGTGGGTAGAGCGTTGGTCTGTGGACTGAAAGGTCCTGGGTTCGATTCTGGTCAAGGGCACATGTCTGGGCTGCGGGCTCGATCCCCGTTAGGGGTCATGCAGAAGGCAGCCAGTCAATGATTCTCTCTCATTATTGATGTTTCCATCTCTCTCCCTTCCTCTCTGGAATCAATAAAAATATATATATATTTTTTTTTAATATATTTTATTGATTTTTTTACAGAGAGGAAGGGAGAGAGATAGATAGTTAGAAACATCGATGAGAGAGAAACATCGATCAGCTGCCTCCTGCACATCTCCTACTGGGGATGTGCCCACAACCCAGGTACATGCCCTTGACTGGAATCGAACTTGGGACCTTTCAGCCCACAAGCCGACGCTCTGTCCATTGAGCCAAACCGGTTTCGGCAAAAATATATATATTTTTAAAAACCACAAAAACCAATGGTCCTCCATCAATACTGTTTTCAAACTGGAGCTTCTAGGAAGGAGCAGAAAAGGGCCCAAGGTTTGGCTCAAATATCTGAAGGGCAGATGTCCTCTGCTGCCAGGTAAACCCGAGGTGTGGTCTGACGGGGCGGAGGGTAGGAGGGCATGTGGGGGAGCAGAACGGGGAGGCAGGAGGGCAAGAGAGGAGCTGAGAGCGGCCGCTTTAGTCATAGGGGTGTTTCCGTGTTCGTCATCCCTTACCCGACTGGAAGCTTCACGTCACGGAGACTGTGTCCTCCTCCCACGTGCTCAGCCCGGTGCAGGGCCTGACACAGAAGCCTCTGGTTCCCGTTGGTCAGAGGAGGGCATGCGCACAGTAGGCCCAGCTGGAACAGGCTGCCTCCCTTCCCCGCTGAAGCAGGAACGCCCCCCCACCTTTGACATAAGCTCACATTCTAATCTTCTGTGCTGTCACTGATTGTTGCAAAACCTTCTGGCCCAGATGACAAGGCATGGGGGCCGGAGGACCAGTTAATATGAGCTGGTGGCATGAGCGCAGCCCCATGTCCCCGGGGCAGGAGGCTGGGCACAGAGCCTCTGGGACATGAAGGACCCCGCTCTCTGCACCGCCAGCTGCCGGAGAGAGGCCCCTCAGAATGGGAGCCGGCTGCCCACGGGCACCTGGCAGCTCCTGCTCCTGCTCCTCCTGTTCCTGCTGTTGTGCAGCCCCCGCCCGGCGAGAGGCTACGCGCCCCTGCCGGGGCTGCAGGAGGCTGTGGCGCATGCCGCCACCCACAGCCTCTCCGTCTGTTTGCTGGGCCGCTGCGTCCTGGGGTGCGGCAGCCTGCAGCTGGGCGCCGGGCTCGCCCCCACCTTGAGCCGGAAGCTGTGCGTGGAGGTGCTGCTACCCGTCCAACAGGCCGTGTGGCAGCCGCTGACCATCACCTGGGCTCGGGGCCTCCAGCTGCTCGCCACCCTGGTCCACAGAGCCCGGCGTGGCCTCCAGAGGCTCCTGCAGCGGGAGGCCGGCCTGGACCTACTCCTGCTCCCCGTGGCCCGGTGGGCCTGCTGCAGCCTGGTCAGCTCCCGCCAGGAGAACGGCAAGGCTTTGGAGCAGTTGCTGCGAGCTGTGCTGCAGCAGGTGGCCGTGTCTCTGCTGGTCTGCTGCCTGGACAAGCTGCAGGGGGCCCTGGGACGGGGGGCCCAGGCCATGCGGTGCCGTGGCCTTCGACCCCTGGAATGGGCCAGGCTATGCTGGGCAGCCTCCAAAGACCTGGATGCAGTTACCAGCATCCTCCCAGCCCCCACTGTCCCTTTCAGTCGGCGCTTCCCCGGACCTGACCCGGCCACCCTGAGCAGGCTCTCGGCAGCTTCCATCCGCCTATGCCTCGTGGCTGGGAGTAAGGATGCCAGCAAGGGAGAAGGAGGCTGCCGCTTGGGGTCCACCAAGCTGCCCCTTAGCAGCAGGTTCCAGAGCAATAGGACGAGCAAGATGGCCGTCGGGGCTTCACCCAAGCAGGCGCTGGCACAGCAAGTCAAGGTGACCTGTGTCCTCATCGTTCTTCTGTGTGTCTGCGCCGCGTCGGTCCTCATGCAAATCTTAAGTATTCCCACTTTTTTTACTCTAAAATTATTTGTGTAAAAATGGAATTATCTCCTTTTTGGGTGACTGGTGAAATCCTATATAATAAAAGGATAATATGCAAATTGACCCTAATGGTGGATCGACCAGGAATGACCAGTCGCTATGATGCGTACTGACCACCAGGGGGCAGACACTCAATGCAGGAGCTGCCCTGTGGTGGTCAGTGTGCTCCTACAGGGGGATCTCCGCTCACCCACAAGCCGGGCTGACTGCTGCGAGCGCAGCGGTGGTGGCGGAAGCCTCTCCAGCCTCCTCCGCAGCGCTAAGGATGTCCAACGTCAGCTTAGGCCCAGGGGGAGCGGGCCTAAGCCAGCAGGTAGACATCCCCTGAGAGCTCCCAGACTGCGAGAGGGTGCAGGCCAGGCTGAGAGACCGCCCCCCGCCCCAAGTGCACGAATTTTCTGCTGGCATGGGCCTGGTATTTTATTTGTGGCTAGATTTTTAATCATTGTTTCAGCTTCTTAAATGATTATAGCACTATAGATTAGTTTTGGTAAGTTATATTTTCCTATAAATACATAGGAAATTGTTCGTTTTTGTCTATTTTCAAATTTATTGGCAGAAAGTTGTTCACAATATTCTCTTGCTATCATTTTATTATTATTATTTTAAATCTCTGCTGCAGTAAGTATGGACTCATTTTATCCTTAATATTGTTTATTCAAGCTTTCTTTTTTATATATCAATCTTACAAGAAATTTGTCCACTTGGCGGCGGTCACTGGGCAGATCGGACTCCTCTCGTTCGCGCACCTCGCTCAGCTTCCTCTGCAACCATGTCTGACAAACCCAATATGGCTGAGGTTGAGAAATTCGCTAAGTCAAAACTGAAGAGGACAGAAACGCAAGAGAAAAATCCACTGCCTTCAAAAGAAACGATTGAACAGAAGCAAGCAGGCGAATCGTAATGAGGCACGCGCCGCCCATATGCACTGTACATTCCCCAAGCATTGCCTTCGTGTTTTACTTCCTGTAGCTGTTTACCTTTGCAAGATGCAAAGAGGTTGGATCAGTTTAAGTGACTGTGCTGCCCCTTTCACATCAGAACTACTGACAACAAAGGCCGCACCTGCCGCTCCCCTCTGCCTGGCTGGCTGGCGGGGAAGGGGGAGAACTTGCATGTTGGTGAAGGAATGAGCTGGGTGAAAGGAGGGTGAAATCTAGAGTAAAAACCAAGCTGGTCCGAGGTGTCCTGCTGCTGTAAAATGCAGTTTAATCAGAGTGCCATTTTTTTTGTTCAAATGATTTTTATTATTGGAATGCACAATTTTTAATATGCAAATTAAAAGTTTTAAAACCTGAAAGAAAAAAAAAGAAATTTGTCAAGATTTTGGTCTTTTCAGAGTACCGACTTTTGGCTTTATTATCTTTATTATAACACTAGAGGCCCGGTGCACAAACATTTGTGCACTTGGGGGGGGGGTCCCTCAGCCCAGCCTGTGCCCATTTTCAGTCTAGGACCCCTTGGGGGATGTCCACCTGTCGACTTAGGCCCACTCTCCGGGGGATCGGGCCTAAGCTTGCAGTCAGACATCCTTCTGGCAGCCAGGGAGCCCTCGGGGGATGTCCGACTAAAGGCTTAGGCCCCCAAGGGAGCTGTGATGAGGAAGCTGGGGTGACAGAGGAGCCACGCTGTCCCACCCTGCCACCCTGGGTCGGGTCGCACACAGGACACCCAGGCGGGCCGATCAATCACTGCTGCCCCGCCCGGCCGCCCCAGGTCAGGTCTCACATGGGACACCCGCCGCCCCGGGTCGCAGATAGCAGGCCCGGATGGTGGCAGAGCAGGCGGGATGGCGCTGTCCCGCCCTGCCTGCAGTATGCAAATTAGCCGCCATCTTTGTTGGCAGTTAATTTGCATATCATGATGATTAGCCAATGGGAGGCGTAGCGAAGGTATGGTCAATTACCATGTTTGTCTGTTATTAGATAGGATTTTCTATTCATTAATTTATGGGGGTTTTTTTGTTTTTTTGTTTTTTATATATTTTATTGATTTTTTACAGAGAGGAAGGGAGAGGATAGAGAGCTAGAAACATCGATGAGAGAGAAACACCGATCAGCTGCCTCCTGCACATCTCCCACTGGGGATGTGCCCGCAACCCAGGTACATGCCCTTGACCGGAATCGAACCCGGGACCCCTCAGTCCACAGGCCGACGCTCTATCCACTGAGCCAAACCGGTTTCGGCAATGGTTTTATTTTTATAAATGTTTTTGTTTCTAATTTTGGGTGGTTCACTCTGTGGATCTTTATCTGATTTCTTAATTTGGTTGCTTTACTCATTAATTTTCCGCCTTTTTTCTAACGTAAGCATTTAAGATTTAAAAAATTCCTTCTGCATACTACTTTCACTGTATCCCCCCAAATTATAATTTTAAGTTTTTTTTAGTTTTAAGTATTTTCTATTTTTTTTAAATATATTTTATTGATTTTTTACAGAGAGGAAGGGAGAAAGATAGAGAGTTAGAAACATCGATGAGAGAGAAACATCGATCAGCCGCCTCCTGCACATCTCCCACTGGGGATGTGCCCGCAACCCAGGTACATGCCCTTGACCGGAATCGAACCTAGGACCCTTCAGTCTGCAGGCCGACGCTCTATCCACTGAGCCAAACCGGTTTCGGCGTATTTTCTATTTTTAAAATATATTTTTATTGATTTCAGAGAGGAAGGAAGAGGGAGAGAGAGAGAAACATCAATGATGATAGAGGATCATTGATCGGCTGCCTCTTATATGTCTCATACTGGAGATCAAGCTCACAACCTGGGCATGTGTCCTGACCAGGAATCAAACCATGACCTCCTGGTTCACAGGTCAATGCTCAACTACTGAGCTACGCTGGCTGGGCTGATCTTTCCATTTCAGAGAGAGGTACATACATTCATTATATTGCAGAATAACTTAAGGTTCTGTTAATTTTTAATTGAATATATTTTGCATCTATTTTATTTGCTATAGTGAAGATTAATAGATAACCGCAACTAAAATTGCAGTTAGGAAGGCCTGTAGGGGGAGCTCCCGTGCCCTGCTGCTCATTCTCAATTACCCTAAACAGGAAGAGACATACTTGGCATCTCCAAATGGGAGGTGCAGTTACTTCCCTACCCTGCAGCAAGAAGCAAGGTTTTCTTCTTGACCTGCAACAAACCCAGACAATACAAAATGCCACAGCTAAAAAAAAAAAAAGAGAGAGAGAGAGAGAAAGAGAATGCTACAGCTCAGCCAATGAGAAGCTATTCACCCTGACCTCTTACTTTCCTCCAACGAACTTTCATTTTTCCTTTGCTAGTGACTTCCTTGGCCCACCCTACTTTCTATTTTAAATGATTCCTCAGGGAATCTCTACTTAGTAGATGAGATCTGCCTGATTTTATGAATCATTTAATAAAGCCAATTAGATCTTCAAAGTCCCTCAGCTGAATTTTGTTTTTTAGGGAGAGAGGAAGGGAGAGGGAAATATTGCTCGGTTGCCTCCCACCCTGACCGGGGATTGAACCCTCAACCTGGGTATGTGCCCTGATCAGGAATCTAATCTGCAGCCATTTGATATATGGACAATGAGCCAACCCACTGAGCCACACCAGCCAGGGCGGTTCTTTTTCATTTCTGCCGGATTGTTTTTGACAGTCTCTGGTTCCTATCTCATCCTTTCGATTCCTTCATTAGCTCTTCAGTACGTCAAATATTCGCGTTTTATATCAGGATCATGACATCTGTTAACGTAAAAAAACCATTGAAACCTGTAAAGAATTTTTGTGAGTTTATTTGAGCCAAACTGTCGACATATGCCGGGAAGCAGAACCTCAATGAATTGAGATAATGCTCCGGAGAATGGTGGGGTTACTTCTGCATTTATACATTGCAATCAAAGGAGGAACATAGGTGGGTTACATGAAACTCATTGGTGATAGATTAAGGAGGGGGGATAAGCAAAGCAGGGAAACCCCTGGGATTGGATAAAAAGTAAAATGATGGACACATACTTAGGTGGGTGCAGGATCAATTAACATGATAATGAAGGAATTTGTGGTATCTGTCCTGGGGCCCAGCACATTTGGTTGTACCCCAGGGTCCCCCAAAAAAGGGAAGTCACAAGTTACCCAGACATTTCAAGGGTGTGTTATCATAGATGCAAAAAGACAGATAGGCTCAGTTAAGGTAAAGGTTTACCTTGTCAGTGAAGATACTGGCCTAGGACGTAACTGCCCACCATAACTGCTTTTAGTTAAAGTTTAATTTCAGACCATCCTTTGTGGTTACTTTAGGTCTCTGAGTTTGCAAGACCACCATGCAGGCCTCCCCTGAGCTTGTCAGGTCAGCATGTGGCCCCTTTCGTCCACCCATCTGAATCCTTTGCTGGCCTGATTCTGCTACTTATTATTTCTGCTGATTTTATCTTGCTATCTTGTTTATTCATGTGTTTTGTGATTTATTTTTTTAACTTTGAGCTCTTACTTGGGGAAATTTTATCTGCTAGAATTTTCCACGGCTTGTATTGAGACGATTTGCATTTTCCTAGGCCCTGAGGGGGCCACCAACCCAGCACCATTTGAAGCGAAATTCTCAATCTGGGATTCTTCGTTGTAGGCAGAAAGGGTAAATTTGGGCAGGAGTGCTGGCTGGGTAAAGTCAGGGTCCCCCCATCCTGTGTGAAGCCCACAACAGCCTGTGTTCTTTGCCCTCTGCCCTCTGGCTCAGGCCGCCCCTAAGAGCATGTGCCTCTGGACATCGAGGCCTCCTGTGGGGTCCAAATCAGCACCGCACCGTGGTGGGCCCAGCGGCCTCTCCTGTCGCCAGTTCCACCTCAAGGCTGTAGCCATGTCAGGGCAGCGGGGAGCAGACACTGTGTCCGGGAAGCTCGCCTCTCTGGGTTCACGCCTTCCTTCTTTTTTGGGCCTTTTTGCCATCCATGCTTCTTTTTTTTTTTTCCTAGCATTTTAATTTTTTTGGCTATCTAGACTTTCATACTGTTGGTTCTGTTATTTTTCTTCTAAACATTCTTTCTCTGAGGCCTCCTGATATGCTTATTTTAAAGATAAAGTCTTATCTTTCTCTAACTGCATCGTCCGCCGGCTGGGAGTGGTGAATTTGTGCCTATGGGGTTTCAAGGAGGCGTTGGAATTTGGGTTTCCAGCCGCACGTGGAGGGGCAGGGTTTTGTTTTCCCTTGTCCTTCTCTCCCTCTCTCCCTCTGTGCTTGCCCTCTCTGTCCAGGCTTGGATTGGTGTTGCCTCTACCAGGCTCCTCGGCCCACGATCCAGAAGCAGACCTCACAGTGGCATTTTAGGGTTCCACCTCAGGGACACACTGGAGACACTGGGCCCCAGGTGAGGAGCCAGCAGGAGGCTTGCTTCAGCATTCGCTGCGCAGCTGAAGCTCTGAATCCCTATCCTCCCGCCCTGCACCCACCGCTTTCTCTAAGCCAGGGTCCCAGGCAGGGACCCATTTAATCTTTTGCTCCCCAGTGGCAGAGTGCCACCCTGGTCACTGGCTTCAGACAGAGGCCTGGCTCCTGTGGTGCCTCCTTGGACCCAGAGCCCAACGCCCTTGCTTCAGCCCTCTCCCGCGGCTCTGTGTATGGAGCGGAAGTTTCTGTTGAGCTGTGGTTATGGTTGTTATCTATTCCCGTGCAACAAACACGCCATAGCTTTGTGGCTCAAAACAACCGCCGTTTTATTATGTCACAATGTTGCGCTCCAGGTCACCAGATCCACTCCGGGTCAGGGCATATGCCCGGGTTGCGGGCTCAATCTCCAGTAGGGGGCGTGCCAGAGGCAGCTGATAGGTGTTTCTCTCATCGATGTTTCCCTCATCCCTGTATCCCTCTACCTTCCTGTCTCTCTCACACACGCACAAAAAAAAGAAAAGAAAAGAAAAGAAAAGGTGCCTGAGGCAAATTTTTAAATTTTAATTGTGCTGTGGCTCACCCACTCACAGTGAATGTATTTCCCCTCTGCCCAGGCAACTCCACACTCACACACAGACCTAACACCTTCTAATCTATACCGAAGCGGCCTCAAGGGGGCAGCAGGGGAGCAAAGGCGGGATGCCGCTTGGCCTGGGCTGGGAATTCCAGTTGTCAAGATGTAGGCAGCTCTGGGTTTGCAAAAGCTTGACCCACAAAGAACAGCTTGACGCCTTGCCGCTAAGCAGACGGTAGAAGAGGAGATGTTTCTATAACCTGCAGTGCGAGCTATAAAGTAGGGGTTCATGGAGGAGCCTGGAAACCTACTCGCCATGTATAGCTTCATGTTTTTAAGAGAATGCCTCCATATCTTGCTGTACATACCTTGTTGAAAACCAACTGGAATGGGGAGGCTAATGATGTTTTACTAAGCTCATTCTTTGTACCAGGCACTATTCTAAGCACATTTTATGCATTTAATCCTGACAGTAATCTTCAGAGGTAGCTACTGTGCTTATTTCTATTCTTTTCAGATGAGGAAATAGGCCCAGAGAGGAGAAACCACTTACCCAAAGTCACACAGTGACTGTGGGGGGAAGACAAGACTTTCATCCAAGAATATCTGAAGATATTCGGAAGATGAGGGGCAGTCTCTAAATCCTTCAGTCTTATGCCCCCAGGCCCAGCACAAAGCCTTGTGCAAGGTGGGCTTCGAAGAAATATTTATTGAATGAATAAATGAATGACCATTAGTCACTGATCTATTACTCACTGTTTTGGCCCATCACACTCGCACACTTTTTTTTCCATGTTATAATTTTTAAAAGTAGATATAATCTATAGTGAAAACCACCCTTTTTGTGGACAGTTCTGCAAGTTTTGACAAACATTTACAGTTAATTATGTAATCATCACCATAAAGAAGATAGAAAGTGATTCTACCATCCCCCTAAATTTCACATGCTCCTTAGAAGTAAATTCTACACCCTCCCCTGTCACATCAGCCCCACTCCCAGCCCCTGGCAACCACTGACCTGTTTTTTCTCCCTATGGTTTTGCTGTTGTATGGATGTCACATGGAGAGAATCACGCAATCTGTAGTCTTTTGAGTCTGGCTTCTTTCACTGAATATAATGCATTTGAGGTTCATCCATGTTGTTGTATCAATCATTTGTTCCTTATTCCTGAGTAGTATTCTACTATATGGCTGTTCACAGTTTGTTTATACATTTCCCAGTTGAGGGACATTTGGGTTGTTTACAGGTTTTGGCTATTACAAAAAAAACTGCTATAAATATTACTGTACAGAGTTTTGTGTAAACCTAACTTCTCATTTCTCTGAGGTAATTAGGTGAACAGTGGCAGACTATATGGCAAATGTATAGTTAACTTCATAAGCAAGTGTTTTCCTAGGGGGCTGTACCATGGTTGTATCCTCACCAGAAAAGCATAAGAGTTCCAGTTGTGCCCTGGCCGGTGAGCGCAGTTGGCTGGAGCGTCACCCTGTGCACCAAAAGGTTTCGGGTTTGGTACCTCATCAGGGTTCATTCCGGAGGCAGACAATGGATGTTTCTCACCTCGCTCTCTCTCCCTTCCTCTCTCTAAAATCAATAAAAACATACCCTCGGGTGAGGATTATATTTTTAAATGTATTTATAAGGCGCTCTCACGCCCACCACTCATTTCCTCTGGTGTCGGGACAACATAGAACGCAGGATGCCCTGTCATCACCACGGTGCAAAAACCTCTGCGGACGTCCCTGTCCAGCCTGCTCCTGGGACCACTGCAGGTTACCGGGAGGCACAGAGAGAGGCCCCGAGGACTACAGGCCAGAAGGGCCAGCCCTGGATGGCGGTTCTTCCCACTGCACCCAGCACTGCGCCACCCAGCCTCGGTTTCCCCGAGACCTAGAGCTCCAGCCGAGGCAGAGATGGGGTGATGGGAACAGGGTCTATTTACTGAGCACTCACTGTGTGCCACGCCCCTGGCGACATACAGCAGGGCGCAAGAAAGACAAAATTCACAGGCTAGCGGAGGAAAACCAAGAACAAATAATAACATATGTAATTACTGGGTGAAGGAAAAGCGTAGGGCGCTGGGGTTGGGGAGATGTCTCTGACAGAGAATGCATAGCTCTCCCTCAGCCTCCGCCTCTGCGCCCGGCGCGCCGCACCCGGGCTGGGGGTGGCCGGTGCGGCGACACCGGGACCCGCATGACGTCATGTAAAAGCCAGGTGGACAGTCCTCCGTGCAGCCGGGCTTTGGCGGCTCCGAGAGAGGCTTCTTCCTGCGCAGTTCATTCATTCGTTCCCGAAATCGTCCTGCGGCACCTACTGGGCGCCCGGCCCTCTGCGGAGGACGAACGCCGTCCTGCCCGCTCCCTGTATTGGAGGTGGAGAGCGCACAGGAAACAGCCAATAAATAAGATGGTTTCAGCCAGAGCCTTAGGCTGGGGGGGAGGTTGTTTTGGGGGAGAGGGCCAGGTAGACCGGCAGCCCCAAGGGGGGACACATGCCGCATTTACTGCACACACCTCCTCCCCAACCCCCAACCTCGCAAAGAGGTCACCACGAGCGCGCCCCCCGCCGGTTCCGCGGCAGACGCGCCTGGCGCACGGGGGCGCGCGCGGCCGTGTTCGCCCCCCCCCCCCCTCCCGCGCACAGCGCCCTCTCGCGGGAGCCCGGGCCGCGCCGATCGAGCCGGGCCCGCGAGCCGGGGACCGGGCGGGGGCGCCGCGCACGCGCACGGTTCGACGGCGCGCGCCGAGCGAGGGGCACCGTGCGGGTGCAGGCACGATGGAAGGGGGTGCGTACGGAGCGGGCAAAGCCGGGGGCGCCTTCGACCCCCTCACCCTGGTCCGGCAGCCGCACACCATCCTGCGCGTCGTGTCTTGGGTAAGGACGGTGGGGTGGCCCGGCCGCGCCGGGAGTGGGTGGGGGCACGGGTCAGGGAGGCGGGCCCGGGCGGACCCCGACCCCATCCGACCCTGGGCACGGCCGCGGCACCCGGGGGCGAGCGGTCCTAGGGGCGACCGGTGCCCGCCCCTCCCTCCTTCCTGGGCCCCGGCGGCGGGGGTCTCGACGCTCGCGGGGCGCGCCCGCCGCCGTTCCCGGGGCCCTCGCTTCCCGGTGACCCCAGTCCGTGCGCTTCGCCACCCCCGCCCCCCGCCGTCGCCGTGACCTCCAGGCCGCGGCCCTGCAGCTCGCGGCTCGGGTTGCGCGCGGCCGCCCGGGCGGACCGGCGGCCGTGGGGACGGAGCCCGGTGCCCAGGGGCCTTTTTTGGGTGGCGGATCGGGGCGGGGAGCATCTGGCGGGCGCACGCCGCGCCTGCGGTGGACGTTCACGGAGGAGGGGACGGGGCTTCTGTGGCTGGTCCGGCGGGTGTGGGGCGATGCCTTGGGAGCCGGATACCTGGCCGCCACCCGGGAGCTGCCTCTCCTTCGCAGCGTGACCTTGGGCTGGAAACCACCCAAGGCATGTTCACGGGGAACCAGCAGTTACATTCTGAGCAGGGAGAGTCACCTCCTCTCTCGGCCTCAGTTTCCCGATTTGGGGAGGAGCCTCCTTGAGGCCCCCTGGAGCTCGGGAATACCCTACATCGCCTCCCCCCAACATACACCTGGATGCCCTTGGGGGTTGGGAGACCCTGGGAAAGGTCCCCTCCCCACAGCGAAAACAGAAAGGCCTGTTCTGGACCTTCAGCCTGGTGGTGGTGGGGGGCTGGGGGGAGCGAACACCCCAGGACAGAGGGCTGAGTGGGGTCCCTGTTCAGAGCTGAGGAGGAGGAGAGGAGGTTGGGACCTCAGGGAGGGGTTCGCCTGGCTCCGGCAGCACCCCAGGGAAGGAAGGCTGGCTGTGGTCTGGGGAGGAGGCACCTGGGCTCCTGAGGGTCGGCTGGCCGTTGCCCAGACGCCCTCACTAGAGGGTCTTGCTTCTCCAGGCCTGGGGACAATTCCTGGGCGCCCAGACCAGGAGGTCCTGGATTGGAGATGCTGGTCAGTGGCACTGTGGGTGACGCCAGGGGGCCACACCTAAAGCCAGCGAGGCCTCCTTTCCTGGGTTTTCAGGGCCATATTAGGGTCCCAAGGAGCCGCCTTTTTTTGGTTTAAAACCATTCAAACCTCTTGGTGTCACAGGAAGTTGCTCACCATACGGGGAGCTCTGTTCTGTTCGTCTCTGGGCCCCCAGTGCTGGAACAAGGCCTGGCACCCTTGGCACACCCATGAGGGTCTGTGGCACTGAATTCATTCATCTGTGCCAGCCTCCAGCTCCCCAGAGACCCAGCAGGCCTCTGGCAAAGGTAGAGCCCGAGGCGCCACCTGCCTGGCCAGGTAGGGGCTGGCTGTGCGCCTTGCTCCCCTTTGCTGGCTCCTGGGCCACTGGCCTGGGAGGGCAAAGCCGCTGGCTCTGTGCGGGGGTTGGGCAGTTCGTGTGCTTGGGCCACTTCTGCCGGTGATGGCTTCATTTAGCGCAGCTTTATGGAGTCTGCTGGCCCGAGGGAAGGTGGCGTGACTCAGACAGCCCTGAGTCCCACGTGGAGTGAGCCAGGCACCCTCAGGCCAAGGGTGAGAGCAGGGGAGGGGTTACCCTGCCTGCCGCGGGAATCAGGGAGATTTCGCGGAGAAAGCGATGTCACTGTGGGCCTGGAAGGATGAGGAGGTTGGCAGATGTGCACACGGGTGCGGGGAAGACACGCCAGGCAGGAGGGAGAAAAAGTAACTTTGAATGGGCACCGCTGTGTGCGGGGCGCCGTGGCGGTTCCCCCGCGGTTCCGGTTCCTGCAGCGGCCTGGGTCCCACTTGAAGAACCTGGGGCTCAGAGAAGCCACGGTGACGGAGCATGTCTGTGGGAGATGTGGAATCCGGACCCAGATCTTCCTGCCCCCACAGCCTCCTCACCCTTATAGTTTCACCGCCCTTCTGTGTCCCACCCTGTTCGTCCTCCTAGGGCAGTGATGGCGAACCTCTGACACGCGAACTCATTTTTTTGGTTGATTTTTCTCTGCTAAATGGCATTTAAATATATAAAATATCAAAAATATAAGTCTTTGTTTTACTATGGTTGCAAATATCAAAAAATTTCTGTTTGTGACACGGCACCAGAGTTAAGTTAGGGTTTTTAAAACGCGGACACGCCGAGCTCAAGAGGTTCGCCGTCACTGTCCTAGGAAGCTGGATGCTTTTACCCATTTAGACTCTCAAATACGGACAGATGACATTCAGAGCCATGGAACATGGTTTCTTAAGAGTGTAGTCAACTCTCTTTTAACTGACCTTGAGAGTATGAACTTATTTCTAAAAACTGCATTGTATACCACTCCAGGGCATATGATTTCAATTATATAATACTGGGGGCCCGATGCACAACATTTTTTTTCTATTATTTTTTAAAATATATTTTTATTGATTTCAGAGAGGAAGGGAGAGGGAGAGAGAGCTAGAAACAATGATGAGAGAGAATCATGGATCGGCTGCCTCCTGCACGCCCCACACTGAGGATCGAGCCCGCAACCCAGGCATGTGACCTGACGGGAATAGAACCGTGACCTCCTGGTTCATAGGTTGACGCTCAGCCTCAACCACTGAGCCACACCGGCCTGCCTAAATATAGTTGTGTGTATTTTTTCTGGTCATAAAAGTGATACCTGTCAGTTATTGGAAAATATAAAAATCACTTGTGATGGTTGCACAACAGTATAAATATACTTAATATCACTGAACGTTACACTTAACAATAGTTAAGGTGGTAAGTTTTATTTTATGTGTTCTTTATCACAATAAAGAAAATTTTGGAAAAAAAGAAATCATGTGCACCGTAACCGGTGTGGCTCAGTGGATAGAGCGTCGGCCTGCGGACTGAAGGGTCCCGGGTTCGATTCCGGTCAAGGGCATGTACGTTGGTTGCGGGCACATCCCCAGTGGGAGGTGTGCAGGAGGCAGCTGATCGATGTTTCTCTCTCATCGATGTTTCTAACTCTCTATCTCTCTCCCTTCCTCTTTGTAAAAAATCAATAAAATATATATTAAAAAAAAAAAAGAAACGTGAAATCCCACCACTTACGGAGGGCTGCTGTCTCCTTCCATCCTTTTTCCTTTTTAAATGATTTTTTCGAGAGAGAGGAAGGGAGAGGGAGAGGGGTGTGAGAGCAAAACATTGATTGGCTGCCTCCTGCACACCCCGCCCGCACCGGGGACCTAGCCTGCAAGTTGGGCATGTGCCCTGACCAGGAAGCGAACAGGGAACTTTTCAGTGTACCGGACAACGCCCAACCAACTGAGCCACACCGGCCAGGGCTTCTCCAGCCTTTCTCAGACGTTAGTGGTGCGCTGAGACATTGTAGTACGTTGGGGAGCATGCCTTCACCCTCACGCTCCCCATGCTCCCTAGGACACGGGGCGGGAGCTTCACCTCCACTAACGAGGCCTGCGCTCGGGGCTCCGGTGACCAACTCTTCCAGGTTCGCTGGAACTTTCCCAGCTTTCGCATTGAAGGTGCCAGGTCCTGGGAGCCCCCAGCCTCGGACAAACCCAGCCTGTTGGTCCCTCTATCCAGGACTCCTGTGCTGCCTGACTCCTCCTGCAGCTCCGGAGGCGCCCAGCCATGTGAGCCGTGGGCGGGTAATTTTGTAATATCTGTAAAAAAATCTTTTTCTGAAAGAGGGTCCCCGAACCGTGTAAGCTTCAGGGCCTCACCAAACCGGGACCCACCCTGGAGCCTGAGCCTCTGAGCCCCCAGGCCCTGGCTGGGGCACAAGCAGGCCCTAGGACCCCCTTGTCTCTTGACTGAGGCTTTCTCAGCTCCCCTCTGCCTCTGTGCTCCCCCCTGCCCCACCCCCCCCACCTGTCAGGGTAATTACAGCAAGAATCGAGGGAGTGCCCATGTTGGTAAAGGTGGGGAGAGAGCCAGTGAGCCCTCTGGCAGCTCCTGCCCTGGGTGAGGAGGGGATGGCTGTTGGGACAGTGTCAGGGCAAGCCCAGAGCTGCTGGCTCTGAACCAGGTTGTGGGGAGATGGGGCTGTGCTGGGGAGGGCGCGGGCAGGAGATCTGTTGCCACTCCCTGCTGTACCCACCCCTTGTGCCGCGATCACCCCCTCTGCTCCGAGACTGTAGCCTGTAGGGACTCCTTTCTTTTTGCTGGAGCCGAGGGGGACAAAGGGAGCTCCAGCAGGAACTGACCGATTTGATGTAACGGACCACCTTCTATTTAGAATTCATAGCCTGTCTGTTAGGGGGTTCGAATGACCTGTGGGGAAGAATATTGGTGCTGGTAGATGAGAGCGTGTTTTAAGTTAATTCTCTGCTTTGGCAAAATAAATCAATAAAACGGTTGAAAGTTTGCCATTTTCGGGGTTGATCTCTTAAGGGCATTGGCTGTAACACCCGGGATTCTGTAAGTGGGGTGTGCGTGCCCCCCCGCCCCGCCCCCCGAAGACAGAAGTTAGCACAGTGTGGGGGAACTTGTCTACCCGTTCCAGGCTCAGATTGTCAGAGGTGCAGTTTGAAGCTGGTCTCTGGGGTCCTCCTTCAAGACACACTCCCCATGGCTTCCCTGTCCGGGTTGCAGGGGCACCAAGGGGTAGCTCAGGGGGGAGGCTTTACACGCTCTTTTTTTCATCACCCCCTTAATCATCACAAGTGAACACTGAGTATAAAAGCTGACCTCACTTTGCAAACGCAGCAGCTTCAAGACAAGACCCCTTGCCCCAGCTCCCAACTAGATTGCACGCTGTTGTCATCGTGCTTCAGAAGGTTGTGTGGAAGGGGTCCCAGTGGAGACAGAGCCTCAGACCTTCATTCGTTTATTCCACATGTGCCAAGTCCCTGTCAGTGTCGGCCTGTGTCCCATCAGAGATGCTCTCAGTCCAGTGAGAACAGAATTGAGTTGGCAAGCACAA